CTCCTGCCTTATCAAAGATTCTTCGTATCTGCGAGATAAAACAGATAGCAAAAACAACTACCAAGTGGTTGCTGAAAAATCGCACATTTTTTTATATTGACCTTATGACATCACCTTAATAAGGTTGAGTGTGTCTAAAAACTGGTCATTGACGTCTATCCCGACGAGAGGATCAAAGTCGTTGCCAACTGACGATGATGATGATGAGATTGGTAATGCATTCGCTTGCTTCGTCATCAGAGAGACGGTTTGTGGCGCGTTGGATGAGGGAGTTAAACTCCTCTCTTGAACTGGTGCCTACAAGAGCGTGATGATGTCATTTCTGAAGAAGAGCAATGATAAAGGAACTAACTCAATTATGCATGAGAACTCCCTTATACAAGGGAACCCCCACAACAATAATAAGAATAACCACAATAACAAGATGATGAATCAACCCCAAGAAAGCTAAACATATTTGTGCTTGGAAAAGATGATCAAAGATCAATAAGAAAAGAGAACTTGTTCCTATCTTCAAGATTTCGAACTCTCCACAACCTAATTGATCAAACTAGATTGAAAGTTCTAAACATGCATTCTAAACACAAGAATACAAAGAAAGCTTAAAGCTGGAGAGAAACTAAACTCAATATGAAATTTCATTCATCAAATGTTGTGTTTCAAAAGCAAATGTACATCCTTATTTATAGTAATTGAAAAGACACAACCCTTGGATGAAAAGACACAACCCTTGAAAAATGCATAATAAATTAAATATGTGGCTGAATCTGGATTTTTAGATTCATCAAGTTTCTTGGATGACAAGATGTCTTTTCAAGCTTGAAAGGATACAACTCTTCACAAAGTGTGAACACTTTAGCTTGGAAGTGACCATTCAACCCTTCTTGTAGTCTTTTAGCTCTAGCTCTTGTCATTGGACCTTGTGGCATAATGATTGGCTCATGATTGGGTTGACTTTGAGCATAAGCTTCATTTGAGCTGATTTGAGCTTCCTCCTCTTGTAGGTTTTCCCCGTACACTCCGTGATCACTTGTTTCTATATCAATATTTTTCGTGCTCTTTCCACTTCATGTCTTGCAAGTGGACATTCACCTCAAACCATACCATAAGATTTTCCTCTTGAAGGTGGCTGTAGTGTAACTTGTCCCACCATTTGATTTGTATTGCTTTAGTCAAGGCTTTGAAATTTCCAAATTTTCCTATATTGAATTTCCAACCTAGAATCCATGGAACCTACAAATATAATGCAAAACAAAACGTAATAGATATGAGAGTTCCATAAATATTCGATTCGAAAAAATGATATGATTTTTGTACTGGTAAAGGAAAATTTTTCCTACAAATACCAAAAGTGGTCCACCATGATTGAAACCACAATGGAAAATGCATTTTGTAAGCATTCTTACAAAACACGATGAACCAAGAGTGGTTGTAAGCTTGATACCAGAGAATGTTGTACCAAGCTCGGATGTAATCCATGTATGAATAATTTTGTGGCACGAACTTTTTTTATAAAGCCCATGTTGTATGAAGTCCTTAATTCTAGTGAAAAGGAGTCATAACCTTTTTTAATCTTCATCTTTGAGAGGATGATTTTCGACGAATCGTTTCGATCCTGCTTATGAATTATGTCTATTGACTTCGTGTCAACAAAAATGAATTCATAGAACTTATGTTCCTGTGAATATCATCTGGGTTGAAATTAGAGCCAATAGGATAAACTATTGAGCAAATCTCCTTAATCTACATACTGTTGTACTCAGGCTCAATGATCGTTTCGACTATTTCAGGTAACCTTTAATCTCAGAGTAAGATTGGAATGCCTTAGGGTTTAACACCTTAGAGTAGGTAGGTTTTTCCCCCTTAATGATATAGCCGACGGAGTTGAAGACTCGGGGCATTTTCCTTCTAATTATGTTGGGCTAAAGGCCGCAGCAAACTGGATGAAGGGATTGGAGGATGTGGTTCCGTATTCCCTTTTGTCGGGAACATCTGGATGATGATTGGACAGACTTGAAGTCCATTGAGTATAGATTTGCAGTCATAGGTATTTGTGCAGGTCCACTTGATGAAACCTCAGCCGGTTTTCTTGACGAAGAATCAAGCTTTTTACCCTTATGATTTTTACTAGCTTTAGAGTAGCTAGCAACCGAACGAAGGCGTGGAGGCCTTCCAAGCGGTGTGGTCGCCATGGTGTCTTAGGTCTTGAGAGGTTTTGGAGGAGGAAGAGGAGGCAGATTTCTCAGGGGTAGAGAGGAACTCTCTTGAGAGGTAATCTGCGAATGAATTCTCCGTGCCTAGGCAGAATTGTAAAATCAAAGCAAGATAGTATTGCTCTTTGCAAAGTACTATTGTTTGTTTTACCTATCATTAACATTATCGACAGATTCTTGGATAATTTTGTGAATTTTATTTTTTGATTAAAATTATATTATGATTCTTGAAATTTGATGTTTATTTATTTTGGTTTCTAAACAATTTGTTGTAGTTCTAAAACTTTGCATAAAAGCCTTTTTATTCATTCTCGTAATTTGTTATAAGTTCTTTTAAAACTTGATGTAGAAATATTTTTGTTGATTTAATGTAATGTGTCTATATGGACAAGTTTTTTAAGGCAGATGTATTGGGTCATATATGGATTTCCAAACAGATTTGAGTTCTTGTTAAATAAGTTAATTATAAAAATTAAATACTTTTAATCATAAAATGTTACAACTAAAACAGAACATATTTAAATATTGATAGCCTAAAACAAAACATTAAAAATTTAGACACTTTTAAAAAATAGATATTAAATTTTGAAGAACTAAAATAGGGTCTAAAACCTTTATTATTATTATAAAGTAAAGCTTAAAGAACTAAATTAGGATTTAAAACCTTATTCGTTTATAAATTTATGAATACAAATGTTACTATTCTTTTATGGGAGAATCATCCTAAAATGATAATTCCTAAAATTTTTATAGTTATTCTATATGGTTAAAAAGTCTTTTTTTTAAGTACAATAAGTGGGGTTGGAGTATCCGAACTCTGACCTCTTAGTTAGAGAAATGTGGCAATTATATTTTATTTTAATTCTGGTCTTTTTTACATAAAAATTATTTTAGATTTGCCATTAACTTTTTTTTTTCTTTTATAAACTCTTGGTTTAAATACTATTTTAGAACCTATACTTTTGGTTTATTTTGATCAATATATTTTTAAAAGGTTCATTTGGTCTGTATACTTCCAACTTTTATCAATTTTAGTATATATTATTTGAAAATATCTGTTTTGGTCATTATACTTTTAAGAAGTGACTATTTTAATCTTTGTTTGCAAAATTTTAACATAACAAAAACCTTTTCATACAAAGTTATGACTACATTCCAAAAGTTTTATTGAGAATAGTGTCATGCTAAAACTATATTGAAAGAAAATGAGATAAAAAGAAAATAAAGGGACAAAAGCAGCTACTTTTGAAAAGTATAGTGACAAAGATGAACATTTGAACGTATAGGGACCAATTAAACACTTTAAAAGTATAGGAATTAATGGACAAAGTTGAAAGTATAAGTATCTAAATGTCATGGACCAAATTGAACTAAACTCTCCTCAAAAAAGAGAAAAAGAAAAAAAAGGTACTGAAATAATATTTAAACCTAAAGTATTTAACAAAAAATCTAACATAAATAAGTATTTCATTTATTTATATTAACAAGTATTGGAAGTCACATCTTTAAATAATCTATAAAATTTCTGAATAGTTTATAATTTATATTAAATAGATTAAATATAAATTAGCTACACTAAAATGTGCGGAAAATGAAAATTAAATATAGTAAAGTAGAACATCGAAAAAATTAGTGACGAGAATAACATGAGGCTAGATGCAAATAATTTTAGTTTTTTTGATGTTTGGGTATTTTTCTTTTGGACAAAACATGGTCACGGGGATTCAAGAGCACGTCATCTTGAATGCCTACACGGTCAACAAACTTCAATATCTATCTCTTTTGTTTTTTTTTCCTTCTCTGCCAAGCTTCACTAAAAAAGTGTTTTTATTTTACAAAATGGTAAGGAGTTCTTTATTCATTTGTCTTGTCTATTTTTGTTCAATTTAATGTATCCTTTTGTATTTAAAATACATGAGAAACAAAGATAAACTAAAAGATAAATATTTGTTTAAAAAATAAGATAAATTTTCTACCAATGTACGTGAAAAACATACCAAGTTTTATTTGTGGCGGAAAAAAACATAAGTTTCTTTTCTTTTGTAAAATGAAGAAAACATTCTTTTTGAAATAGTATTGAAATACAATTATATAAAAATATATATAGTAAATTTGAATTTTTTTTAACGAAATTTTGAATTGAAATATATAGTTAGAGATAAAATGAGAACAAAGAAAATGGATGAGATGTGATGCAACAGTGAATAGAGGAGGGAGGATGAGATCAAATAGGAGATATTAAAAGTTAATAAATAAAAATGAAAAAAATATATATTTGTGTATATATTATGGGACCACGTAGCAGAAAGAAAGTGCTCCTCAGGAAGATTTTTCAATTTAGTTATTCATTATTTGGTAAATGTTAAATTTAATTGATGATAAATTTATATGACATAATACTCGATGAATTAACGAAAATTTAGAAGAGGATAAAAAAAAAAAAAGTCAAGAAAGGAAGATTCAAATTTCTAAGAAATGGACAGAAATTTCGAATTTTCCTCTTTTTACAATTTTTGCTAATTCACTCAATTTTATTTATATTTAATCATTATGAGATATTAAATTGAAAAAATATTAAAACATGAATCTACTAAATTGAACAGACACGAAAATATTTAGGACTAAAATACAAAATTTAAACCAAATAAAGGGTTTGTAATTATCGAAAAGGGTAAAAACATTATTAGAAAAGGAAAGAAAAAAAGAAAAAGAAAAGAAAAGGTTTGATCAGATACTAAAATATAAAAATAGAAAATTCTGTTAATAACTTGCATAGTTGCCGGAAGGTTAGTTTCCCGCGAAGTTGAGAGTGGAGATCCGTATACAACGGGCTTTGTGTTCTTCAGCTTTTTCCTTCTCCTCATCTTCATTTCATTTTCTCCTCCATCCTCTCCCCAAATCTTCGATTCCGCTTCAGCTTCAAGTTTCCGATTCGAGTTTCTGAACACAGCGGATTTTGAAGACCGAAGAAACAATCAGAGGAATCTGAGTTCCTTGCGAGGAACGACGATTCCTCGTTTATGCTAAACATTTGTGCTTCTACTTCTCCAGGTCCGTCTCTCTCAAATCTCAATCTCCACCCCCTGATTTCTCCCTTTTTTGGTTCTCATTTCCAGTTTTGTTAAATTGTTCATCATTCGCGGGGATGGAATTTTGAATTTGCGAAGGGAATATCCGGTTCCGGTTGCAATAATTCGACCTATTATATATCAGTTTTTTTTTCTTTCTGTTTTGTTCAGGTCGAAAATAGTTTTGTGATCCGATGGCACGCCCAATGTGATTGCTGAAAACGTCGAATCCTGTTCCAGGGAGCCGCAGAAAGTTGCGAGTTTATATGGAATGCCATTGACATTGAAGGTAGGTATATTTGACATGGAAGGATATGATAAACAAAGATAGAGAGATGGTTCGTTCCTTTTGTTAGGCTTAGTTGTTGGTTTCTAGTAATTTTTGTTCGGGATATGAAAATCTATACCCAATTTTACTCGTCAATTGGCTGATTTTACTTTTGGTTTATCTTTATATGCGTATATACATATGGAGAATGTAAAATAGCATGAATCATAATAGTTCTTAAGCTCTATGTATGAGGTTCATATCGTTTATTTATGAACAATGAACCTAATTTATATAATCGGCAGCTGACTTCTCTGATTCCAACAATATCTGAAATAGGAATTGTGTTTCAGATCAAAAACTTCCAAATTGGTAATGTGTTGGATTCTGCTGGTATGCACCACACCACAATGATATAGTCCTTACATCTTGACTGCGTTTCAGGTTTCTTCTTTGTAAAGTGGGGATTCAGTGTTGTGCTGCTTTTTATTTTATCATCCCAGAGGTTTAGAACTGCAAAACTAACACAATGGGTGGCTGCACCTCAAAACTTAGTCGTAATCTGAAAGTATATAGGAAATACTCTTCACGATTTGGAAAACGTCGTAGCAAGATTGCAGCTGCCATTCCTGAGGTCAATATCAAAGGAATTGGTGATACACGGAGCCATGGAGGAAGAGATTTTACAGTTAGTGAGTTTGTTCATCTCGATTTTGAGAAGGGAGCTGCTACTACCCGCAGGTCTGAAGTTTCTAACATGACCTTCCATCTTAAGCAGCTGCATTGGAACCATAGTCAAATTGATGCAAATGGTATTTTCTTTTCCTCTCTCAATCCCTGCAATCGAAGTTATTATATCTGGTATCCCATGACATGACAGAGAATTATACTATTGATCTGGACACTCTTAATACACAATGGAAATACAATTTACATACAATCACAAGAGTCAGAGAATGGTTGTTGTTTATTCAAAATAATTTGGAAGAAACTTGTAATGTATTGTTTTGATTCTCGCTTGCATCGTGGAATAATACTAATGCTTGAATATTCATGAATGTGTCTAAGTATTCAACTAGTTATGGACTTTAAAAAATTCTTGTATTTAAAATAAATTCTAGATTTATTTCTAACTGAAGCTTTTTCTGTTTTACTCACTCAGCTGCTTCCATGTTTGAATATTTAGATAGAAAACAACATTTATACTTTGGTTAAGCTCGATATATTCATCTGAACCGCGGACTGTAAAATTGTGTCATCTGTAGGATTGTTTCAAGATGAACCATGGTTTGACTCGGCTAGTATTTTGGACTCTGATTCCGATGATGATGATTACAGTAGTGTTCATGAAGGTAAAACGTAAAATTATCTCTCCACAGCTAACAACTTCTTTCTCATTACATTACAAAATTTGTTACTCTGTTTTCTGGGATGGCAGATTGTATTCCTTCGATTGGAAATGTCCCGAATGCTCAATTGCTTCAGTATGAAAGCAAATCGTGCTTCATTGACAATGGATGTCTGTATGAAGGTTTCTATGAAAGTTATCTCAAAATTGATGGAGGTGCGCAGAACTTTGGATTTACGAGTCAGGAGTTCAATATGAATTCTTGCCTGCCTTGTTTGACTCCTCCAGTCAATTGCAATGAGATGGATCATTCTTCTAGTCCCGCAGCGGCACATAGGAAGGCAGCAGTTATAATGCTGTCTGTTAAAAGAAAATCGGTTGATGGATTTGAAAGAACTGAGTTTTGTAAGTAAACATGCTAAGCTTTGAGACAGCTTTTGTAGTTATTATGTCTTTAAAATGCACTTATATTATGATATCCAAAAAGTTGATGCAATCTCTAAAAGTTTGAAGAGCTACCTTTTGCATCATTTTATCATTGTCAAAGATTAGTGATGAAATCGACATATGCCTCTAGGATAGTCCTTGAAATTTATGCATGATAAAACTTTGAATCTCAACTTTTATAGAAGCATAATTTGTTGATGAACAGGTACGGCTGAGAAAATCTTATATCGTCCAAAAGCAGGACTGCAAATTCCATGTTCTAAGGGAGAGAAGCTAACTCCATCCTCCTGGTCCCCTATTTCACCTTCTGTGTTCAAGCTTCGTGGAGAAAATTATTTCAGGCATGTCCTTTAATTACATATTGTGCACATCTAGGGCTTTCGATTTCTGTGTTTCTGGCTGTGTTGGTTTCTTCTTTCCAACTTTGGACACCTATTGTGTAGAGACAAACAGAAATACCCTGCTCCAAACTTCAGCCCATACGTACCAATTGGAGTTGACTTGTTTCTCTGCCCCAAGAAGATAAATCACATTGCTCAGCATCTTGAACTTCCAAATCTGAAAGCACATGAAAAGCTACCGTCCATCTTAATTGTTAATATACAGGTCTTTTGATTTTCACTTCTCTTCTGTTCCATGAGCTTTCCAATAACAAGGATTTTGCCTATCATTAACAAATTGGAAAAGAAATTTGTTATTTCCATCTGGCTTTACTCTGATGAATCATTGGCATTAATATCTTAATGGGCACTATTTTTGACAAGACACTAGAATGTCACAAACTGCAACTGGATTTGCTTAACTCTGGTTTGGTTATGTTGTTTCGGTCTTAGCTGCCTACATATGCAGCTTCGATGTTCCCTGGTGATTACAACGGTGAAGGGATGAGCCTTGTGCTGTATTTTAGAATATCTGAGAAATTTGATGAAAAGATATCTCCCCATTTTCAAGACTCCATCAAGGTACCTTTTGCTTTTCCACCAATTGAATCAATTTTTATGTATACTTTGGACATGAAATGTTTGATGGAAAAGAAATGAATTAGCTCGCATCCTCCTTTGTGTTAGAAATGTATTTCTTCTTCCATTATATTCTTTGACAAAGATCTAAAGCTGATTTCTTCATCAGAGGCTGATCGAAGATGAAATGGAAAAAGTGAAGGGATTCACAAGGGAATCCTTGGTTCCTTTCAGAGAAAGGTTGAAAATAATTGGTGGGTTGGTTAATCCCGAAGATCTCCAGCTAAGTTCTACTGAAAGAAAGCTGGTTAGTTCTTATAATGAAAAGCCAGTGCTATCACGACCTCAACACAACTTTTTCAGGGTAAAACAATTTCCATTTTTTAGAGTCCGTTATGATAATATCAGGCAGGCATCTTGTGATGTCTTTGCATTAATGGTTGTTTCAGGGACAAAATTATTTCGAGATTGATTTGGACATACATAGGTTCAGCTATATATCGAGGAAAGGACTCGAATCATTCCGTGACCGTTTGAAGCACGGGATTCTTGATTTTGGTTTAACAATCGAGGTACTTCTACTATATTCAAATCTGATAACATTAAAAAAGAAAAAAAAAACTCTCAATGATTGAGATGAATTTAGGGCAAATTTGACCACGTTCCTATTTGTTATTTCTCGTTTCCAATTTTCTCAAGAAATCTAAATATTTTGCAATTAATTATGGGTTCGTTTGGTAACATTCTCCTTTCTTCCTTCTCGTTTTAAATATTTTTTAAGAAATCTAAGCATTTTTCAACCATGTATGTTTTCTGTTTTTCTCTTTTTTTTTTGGAACATTCTCAAAATTGTATATAAATTTTGGAAACAACCAAAATAAGTTTTTTTCTTTTTTATTCTCATTTCCAATTTATTCAAAAACATAAATAAAAAAAATGTTTTGTCATACTTGAATTCATATATATTGAGGCGTACAATTCATTTTTCTTTATTAAAAATAAAAAAACAGAAACAAGAAATAGGAACAGGCTTTATGTTTCTTGTTTCTCATTCTTTGGGAACATTGTCAAAATTGTATAGAAATTTTTGAAAACAACCAAAACAAGTTTATTCTTTCTTGTCTCCATTTCCATTTTGTGACGTTGGGACGATGCAATTGATTTATGTTGGTTAAAAATGAAGAAACAGAATTGATTGTGGTGAGTGTTTGGCAGGCACGAAAACCAGAAGAACTGCCGGAGCAAATGATGTGCTGTGTGCGGCTGAATAAGATTGATTTCGTAGACGAGGGGCAGATACCGACAATTATGAGCGTATGATGCACCCACCATCTGAAGACCACACACGAACAAATAGAAAGAGAATTTAGGAGCCAAGCCCTTTGGCAGACACAGGAAAATGGAGGATGCAATTTCAATTTCAATTTCATTTTCATAGATCTTAGAAACCTTGGTGTGAGTTGAGTGCTGAGGAGATGTTATGTTACGTGAAACATTTTACATCGAAGTCTCTCTGTTTCTTCCCCCCACCTAATTCTAATTCATATCCACATCTGTTGCCAACAATTTTATTTTTATAACTAAAATATACCATTTTCCATATCACATCCCTCCCCCTTTTGCACCATCCAACAAAAAATTGCCCACAAGTGGCGTCTCCAACCATCACATTTTCAAGCTCACTTGTGCCTCTTAGAAACTCTCTTTTCCGTCCCTCCGTATTTGCGGCCCATCCACGACTGCTGAACGCGAGCGAGTACACTAATTCAGTATATATATAATATCTCGCATTTTCGAGAAGGTATCATTTATTTTTTATTTAAATAAAAAATTTATAGATAAATAAAAGTAATTTTTTGCTTTCTAAGCACGTTGTTGATTTTTTTTTATTACCAATTTTAGAGTTAAACTCAGCGTATTAATTTTAGAGTTAACTCAAATGGCGAGTTTCAAGCCATAATATACAACTAATGAGTAAAATTTCAAATATTTTTAGACTTTTGGTTTTACCTATGATTGTTAAATTTTTGTTTCAGATCTTAAGAATCTTTCTATTAATATTCTTGGAGAGTTACTTGAGTACTGTAAAAGAAAAATAACTCATCATTTGCAAAGAAAAAGTAATGCAAAATTTCTAGTAGGTCTGAAATAGAATTCAATTTATGAGAACTAGTGGTAAATTATAGTCTAAGAATTAAGAACCCGTTCGATAACCATTTTGTTTTCTGTTTTTGGTTTTTAGTTTTTTATTTTTGAAAAATAGAATTGTTTGATAATCATCTCAATTTTATGTTTTAGAAAATATACATGAATTTCAAAAACAAAACAAACAAAAATAGTTTTTAAAAATAGATTTTTGTTTTTCAAAATCTCATTTTTTCTCCCAAGACTCAACTTTTTTTTTCTTTTAACTTATTTATCTCTAAAAAATTTATTTTTCATTCTATTTTTTCTTCATAAATATATCTCTAAAATATTTGTTTTTCTCTCTCTAAAATTTTAATAGTTTAAATATTTATTATTATTTCTTTCCCTCCAAAATTTTCATCTCTATGTATTTTTTTTTGTTGCTGCAACACATCACTCTCATTTCTCTGCCTAAAAATTTAATATTTTCATGAACTTTTCGCTTTGTTGAATTTCGTGTTTTATAACTTTTATTTATCTTGCTAATATATTTTTCTTTTAAAAATTATATATTCTTTTCTCTTTCAACTTTCTTTCACTCTAACTTTGATTTTTCCTTGTATTTATTTATTTTCTCTAAAAAGTATATTTCAAATCTTGTTTTTATATTTAAATTTTTTTTGCGCACTATAATTTTTCTTTTTCTTTCTATTTTTTTTCTTTCATATCTTTTCCTCTCAACTTTACTCTTTTCCTCTAAAATTTTTCCCCTTTTGTCTATTTAACTTTTCTTTATCTCTCTAAAAGTTCTATTTCAAAAATCTATTTCCATTTGTCTAAACTTGTATTTTTCAGGCTCTACATTAGGGATGACAAAAATTCTTGTGGGGTCCGGTCTCCTTTCCAAGAATAGGAAATGAATGTCGCGATCCTATTCCCGATTCTATTTTTCAAATAATTAATATATATTTTACTAACATATTTACTAAATTGTGAATAAAATATTAAATATTTTTAAATAATTATTTATATTAGTAAATAATAATTCTAAATATATTAATATATATTTATTACACTTTTTATTTTTTAAATTATGAAAATATTAAAGTTAGTTATAAAACTGTTAATTTTTCCCACGAATACCTCCATCCCCGAATAAGGATTCTTTAACCTGGATCTCAATTCCTAGACCAAAGAACGAGGTGGAGACGAGACTAAAAATTTTCACAAGCACAATAATGGGAGATGACATCCTCACCCCGCCTCACACCATTGTCATCTCTACTTTACATAGAATATTCTCTATCTAGTATATATTCTCAATTTTCTAACTTTTAAAAAATAAAAACTAAAAATGGTTACCAAATTTCTATTTTTGAAAAACAAAAAACAAAAAACAGTTATAGAAAATGTATGGTTTTTGTTTAGAATTCGTTTGTTCTTATTTACTTACATTTTATTGCTTTTCGAACCTATCCTTTATCGCGTTCCTTTATTAAGCTTTGTTTCAATTCATTTCAAGTTATATTTTATTTGTACTTCGTTTATCTTATTCTTTATATGTTTCTAATGAGTGTTAACTTCCTTCAAGCTCGTAAGAGAAGAAGATTAAGTTAGGGCTTGTTGTATCTTTATTATTCTTCAAATTCAATCGAATGGAAAGTATTTTTCTTATTTCTTTGAGCATTTTCATTTCTTTAATTACGCACTAATCTAGTTTTCAACCTCTCTATGAAATGCCTTAGGAAAAATCTTTTAATTTTAACACGGGAGGAAAAACCCAAGTAGCGCTTGGCGCATTTCTAGGTTAATTCCTCAAAATCTTTCCTCAAGTGATTTCTAAAGTTGGCCACTAGGAAATTGATCTAGATTCCTAATACTGAAAAGGTTAGGTTAGGGAATTAATATAGGATGTGACTTAGACATAAGAGTATAAACTACAATCCTAGACATAGCTCATCTGACCCATAAAAGTAAATGAGTTAATAATGATATTCTATCATTGTAACCACGCATAGACATATGACAATAGGTTACCCTAGGCTCCAAAACAACCAAAAGTGGTCGTGGTAGGAGTAGAACTCAATTTCCATAAAAGTGTCAAGTAGCGCCTGACGGTTTTTTTCTCCAATGTGCCATTTTGTCGAAAACTAAGGCAAGAAGCGGAGAAGTTGTTTTTATTAAGTAGTTTGATATTTGCAAAACCAAATCACGACTTCATCACCGATTTTTACCAACAATTACAGTTTAAAATATTTCATTTTAATTCATTTTGAAGCAAAAATCCCTGAGGAGTACACGATTTTGGAATTACTTCCCCTACATTACTTGTGACTGTGTACGTTTGCACGCTTCTCGTATATTTTGCGGTATAGAATTCCCAACAAGTTTTTTGGCCCTGTTGTCGGGGACTTATTTTCTTTTTAGTGAATCGTTTAAGTATTATGATTGTTGTGTAGCTCTGTTCCTTAAAATCATTCGTTATATCTAACCTTAAAGGGTCAATTTTTTTAGCACAAAAACTTTCTTGTACGAGTCCCTAAAGAGGTTAGGGTGAGAACAAAGATAATCAAGAAGAAAAAAGAAAAACTGAAAAAGAGAAGGATGAAAAAGTAGGAGAGGTTTCTTGTATTGAACCAACAAATTAGCTGGCGTGTTTGAAATGGATCCTCAATTTATGTACAATCTAAACATGAGAAGTAACATGCTTATTTCTCCTGTTAATCCATCCTATTGTTTTTATTGTGGTGATAGTTGTCATTCAACTGAATATTGTCCATCTAATCCAAACTCTTTTTATTATATAGGTCAGTCGGGGAACCAAACAGATTTCAACCTTTATTCAATTGCATACAACAAAGATTGGTGGGATCATTCAAATTTCTTGTAGTGAGAGCATCAACCTGAAAATATCCATCCTATGAGCATGCATTCCCACCAAAGTTGTCGACACAACCTCACCAGTGTTGGATTTTATGTCCTAAAACTCATAGTTTGTAAATGTCATATATATTTTTGTCATTCAATAAAACTATTATTGAAGGTTATAATCAATAAGTAGTTATTAATCCAATAAAATGTTCTTACTAGATCTAAATCCAATAAACTAATGATCTTAGACTGTTACATGAGACTCAAACTTTATGTAGAGACATAAATATGGATCAAGTTTGAGTTAATAGTCTAAATGGTCTATAGTATAGGAATAAAGTTGGGTGCCTTATTCTGGGGACACTATGGATGCGGCCCACTTTGTAGCTAGTACAAACGATGTGATCCTAATTCGTTCATGTGAAGACATGTGAGTGGGGGCGTCCTGTGCAAAGAGTTTGCATAAGACCAGACCATGAGATATTCACTTTTACTTTGTAACACCATTTACTGTCTGAAACTAACTATCTCGACTTTGATGGCCTAGGTAACTCGATCTTAATCCTGAGCTAACTATGAACTTCTGTTTACTCGAGATTATCCTTAGATCTGCATGGGTGAAAGCAGCTCAACAGCGCTGGCTCAATAAGCCTCTCATTTCAGGGGCAAGACCAGATAAATAGCTAGGGACATAGGGCGCAAGAAGGAATTCACTTCTACCCAATTTTGGGATAGTAGAGAGGTTGTTCTCTTAAGGACTGAATCCAAGTCTTGAACAATTGGCGCCACCGTCATCAAAAGGTTTGAGAGGATTTTTTGATTTGATAGTTGGACTACAAATCATTGTTCATTAGAGGATCAGTGGGACTTAAGGAACAAGAGGTAATTACAGGGGTAAAACGGTATTTTAACCCAGCTGTAATTACGAACAACCTGTGAAGGGTCGACTTACCGATCATGATTATATCAAATGAACATATATATCTACAGTGAGGAGAGTGCAGCTACGGGCTTTAGTGGAGTGACCTGATAGTTAACGAATGTTGGTTAACTAGGTTAAAATAGTTTAACCGATTAATCTCGGATCGTTAGAGCTCATGATCTGTAGGTCCATAAGGTCCCCTAGATAGCTCATATAGGAATAAACTTGGAATAATTCGAATCGTACGAATTAAGTTAATCATATGAGATATGATTAAGTAATTGATATATGATATCAATTGAGAAACTTGGTCAAAATATTTAAATAGGATTTAAATATTAAAATTATGAATGCATTCTTCATAATCGGAGGCATGGATTTCGTCAAACAGTCGGATTTCAAAAAAAGTCAAATAGTTGACTTTGACTAGAGAAAGACAAAGGTTGACTAAGAATATTAAAATAATGTTTTTAACCAAATTGGTGGAAAATTCCACTAACTTGTTGAGTGGAACATTTAAATAATCTCAAAAAATCCACTTTTTGACACTTAACCATGACATGCATGAGTGGAATATGTGTTGTAAGCTTTTGGTGAACTTAGACATGCATTTTGACACTTAGTCATGTCATGCATGAGTGAAATATGTGTTGCAAGGTTTTGGTGAACTTTGACATGCAAGAGTTGCATGTAATTTGCCTTTTTAAGAAGGCATTTGTTCAAACATTGAAAACTCTTGGAACCTTTGGCCATTTGATGTTTTTGAAAAAGCTTACATAACTCCTTTTAGCTCCATATTTCTCTCAAATTTTCATTCTCTAAAAAGAGTCCCACCACTCTATTCAAAGCCTTGAGAATAGCTAGGAAGACCTCTTAGTGGTCCTCATTGGAGCTATTTGAAGAAATTTGAAAAGCTACAAATACTACAAGAATTCAGGGTTTCGGCGACAACGAATTTCATCGCTAAAAGGTCCAAATTCGTCCCCGAAAACCTTTGGCGACGAAAATAAGTCGTCGCGTAACTCGTCATCATTACCCGGTCGCGAGAGGGTTTCAACACTTTTTTTAGTTCGTTATTTGAAATGATATGTGACATTTTGTTATTGGATATTATTAATGAGCACTTATTATTTGAAATTAGTTATGATCACTTGTTATTTCATTATATACATGTTATTTCATTATATGTTATTTTATATATTTGTTTTGGATAATATAGGGATGACTTCTAATACACAAAGAGGTTGCGGATTGAATGAATATTTTTGGACAGTAGAGGAAGATGCAGTGTTGGTGGGCGCACTTCAAGAACTAAGTCATAGTAGTTTATGGCGAGCAGAAAATGGACTCAAGAATGGGTATTTGAATCAAATTGAACAATTCATGTTGGAAAAATTACCTTCGTCTACCTTAAAGCCATCTCCCACACATTGAATCTCGAGTGAGAACGCTAAAGTCCAAATACAATGCACTAGCCAAGTTGCTTAGAGATAAAAGTGAATTTAGTTGGAATGGATGAACTCCTGACATTACAATGTGAAAGAAGTGCGTATGATGAGTGGGTCAATGTATGTAGAAGAAAATAATTTTAGATCACATTATTCAAATATTCCAACAAGTTATATTTTTTAACTTGTAGGTTCATAAGGATGCTAGTGGTTTATCTGGAAAACTTTTTCCTCACTATTATGCTCTAGGAGAAATATTTGGAAAAGATCATGTCACTGGTCAACATGCAGGTACTGTTGATGACGATGAAGAAGAAATTAGAATGGGGGATCCTAGCTCTCGTCATGGTTCCCATGTAGATATCAATGACTTTGATATGCATTTTGACATTCAGAATGACATATTTAATCCAGTTGATGATGAAGGGACATCATTTTCACAACCTCAACCGCAACCCAATTTCACTGATAAAAGTTCAAGTGGAGGTCATAAAAGGAAAGCATGCAACAAGGATGGAATGAGTTATCATATCGAACGCATGGCAAATTCGGTGACAGAAGTGGCACTAAAGCTTGATGGGCTTATAGAAGTCCTTTTAAATGATAGAGAAGTGACTAACATACAAGATCGACTAACTGATGAGTTAAAACAAATAGACGGAGAAGAAAGAGTTGCTAAGAAATTTTTTCACCATGAAAGAAGAGAAGAAGAAAGAGTATGTTCTAAACTTATTAGAACATGAAGTTTGACTCTTACATCAAGAGGACCTTTAGGTGTATGGATAATTATAACTATTTTGTGTCTTCAAATACTTGGTGATGTAACCATTTAAGATATATTTTGTATGACTTATTATTTTGAACTGTTATGAGATAGTTTAAGATTACTTTGAAGTTTGAACTAATTGGTGGAAATGATTTATATAATATTTGTATGACTCGTCTTTTTTTATATATATGAATAAATATTTGTATGACTCGTCTTATATATGTTCTAATCCATGCAACACTAAATTGATAATTATTTAATTTTGTATTAAAAAATGATTTAATTTGAGATTGAATTGGAAAAAGAAAGTTTATTAAAATAAATAATGTAATAATAATATCAAATAATGTGTAAAAAAAATTAGACTTAAATACAACAGATATAATTTATTACTATTAAATAAAATAATATAAAGTAGATCTAAAAATTATTGTAAGTAATTATTTTTTTTCAATATAAAAAATGTCATAACATCCTTTTAATTAATGCAATTTTGTATTAGTTACCAATACATAAGGGTATTTTGGTAATCATCATATGTCTGATTACGATTTCAGATGGAAGTAAATACCATGAATTGGTTTTTTATTCCAATTCCAAATATTTTCAAGTAAACAACATAAATGGAATAACATTACGATCCCGATTGATTTCCATTACCATTCAGAGTAAGTAAACATGGCCTAAATGTAATGAATGTTTAACAAATATATTGAAGCTTAAATTAAATTTCTATGGATGTTTTAACAATGCGTAAATTTGGAGAAGTCTGCCATGTGTTTCACTCCGAATATAAGAAGGGATGGAATGAAATATGTGCAATCAATTCTTGAGGTCCATATAGTCGAAAACCTTGGTTCATATTTAGGCCTATCGTCGATGTTCTCCAGAAGGAAAAAAGATGATTTTTCCAAGGTGAAAGATGGGATTTGGCAAGTTATGCAAGGCTAAAAGCGGAGTTTTTTCTCAATGGAGGTGAGGAAGTTCTCATAAAAAACATAGGCCAAGTCATCCTGATTTACAGCATGGGTGTTTCCAGGCTTCTGTCTACACTGTGCAAAGATATAACTCATATACTTGCTAGGTTTTGGTTGGGATCGAGTGGAACTAAGAGGAAAATTTATTGATAGTCTTGGGATAAAATATGTCTTTCAAAAGAACTTGGGGAGTTGAATTTTCGAGATTAGGAAGGGTTTAACCAAGCCCTTCTAGCAAAGCAGGTATGGAGAACTCTTTAGCATCCCAATCTTCGAGTCTCTAAGATTCTTCGTGGTTGATATGTCCCTCACTCAAATCTCCTAGATAAATAACTCTTAAGAAAAATCTTCTTATTTTTGGCAGAGTTTCTTGTTGGGGCGAGATTTACTAATAAATAGGCTTCGAACAAGAGTTGGGGATGAGCGTTCTATAATAGCGTTCAAAGACCCTTGGATTTCATGTGAATCAACTTTCAAACCAGTAACACCTCCTAACTAGCATGAGAATATATATGATGGCTTAGGATCTCATCAAGAATGGGGCATGGCAGAGGGATAAGCTTGAGGAATTTTTTCTTCCAGAAGACATCGATCCAATTATGAAAATCTCTATTAGCCCGAAAATAAAGAATGACAGTTGGTTATGGCACTATGATAAGAGAGGTTATTATAGTGTCAAGAGTGGCTACAAGTTATTCATGAATATTCAAAGGCTCTAAGCATCTCCAATTCTCAGATGTGGAAATTTATGGAAGCTAAAAATCTCTAATAAAGTCAAGCATTTCATATGGGAATCGATTCATAATTGCATCCCTACCAGAAATAATCTTTGAAAGAAAGGAATATCTATTTTTTAGATGTGTCCTATATACAACAAAAAAGATGAGACAATAAGTCGTGCTTTAATTGATTGCAAGCATGCATAGAGATCTAGAAGAATTGCTTACCTAAGTTGCAAGTTGTGCCATCGAGATTCCGAAATTTTGTTTGGAGGCTATACGGCCGCTTTCTTCGAATTTTGAAATTTTGAGTGAATCGGTAGTGATAGTCGTGGATATTTTGGGGATGAAAGGCCATTTTCAAGAGATCTCCTTTCACCATGTTCGACAGGTTTCAATGCTCGAGCTGATAATATGACAAAAATTGCCATCAAATCTCAACATAATGTGCTTTGGAAATCTAATTTTCCTTTGTGTGTACTAAAAATTGTTGGGTTTTATGCCCTAAACTTGTGGTTTGTAAACATAAAACAAATATTCATTCAATAAAGTTTTATTGATAGAACTGCATTAACCCAAAACTAACATTCTAGGTTGTATGATGTAACTGGAACAGTATATAACAGATATACAGTATATATTTCATATACAATGTATATATTTGATATATAGTGTATATATATACAGTATATATTCGATATACAAGTGGATAATGTTCCAGTAGTAACCTAAAGGGTCTATAGTATATGAATAAGGTTTGGTACCTTATTCTGGTAACACTATGGATACGGTCCACTTTGTAATAGTTACAAATGACTTGATTCAGGTCGTTCGTGTGGAGACATGCGAGTGGGGGTATCCTATACAATGAGTTTGTATAAGACTGGACCACGAAATAATTACTCTTTAGCTATAACACTATTAGCTAATAGATTAACATTTCAATAGGATGACCAGGTAACTCGATCTCAATCTTGAGTGAGTTATGGACTCCTGCCTGTTATGGCTCGTACTTTGATTTGTATGAGTGAGAGTGGCTTGAGTCGCTGACTCAATATGCCTACCATTTTGGGGATGAGACCGAGTGGGGAGCTGGGAACATAACTACACAAGATGGAATTCACTTCTTCCCGACTTCAGGGTAAGTAGATGAGTGTTCTCTTGAGTGCTGACTCCGAGACTTGAATAAGGGGCCCCACCCTCTCACTGGCCCAAGAGGGACTTCCGGTTATTGGTTGGACCATAACCGGGTTGTTCATTAGAGGATCAACGATACTTAAGGTACAAGATGTAACACAGGGGTAAAACAGCAATTTTACCCAACTGTAGTTACGAACACTCGTGAAGGATTAACTTACCGTCAATGGTCAAAATCCATGGACGCAAAATATTCTATAGTGAGAAGAGAGCAACGGTGGGTCTTTAATGGAGTGACCGACAGTTAATGAATATTGATTAATATGGTTAATGAGTTTAATCAATTAATCTCGTATCGTTGGAGCTTCCGATCTGTAGGTCCATTAGGTCCCCTTGCTAGCTCGTAAATGATAGTTAAGAATAGTTAATCTTGAAAATAATTTGAATTGTTCAAATTAGTTAAAGGGAATTAAGGTTAATTGTATGAGATACAATTAATATAATGTATGTTGATATATTATAATATAAAGTTAATTTTAAATTGGATTCAAAATTATGAGAGAGATGGATATTAGAATTTGATTCTAAAATAGTTGATTAACTTAAGTTTAATTTAATTGAATATGATTTAATTAAATTAATGTGATATATTAATTTAGTTAAATTAAATTAGATTTAATTAAATATTATTTTAATTAAAATAAAAGAAAAAAAAAAGAAAATGAGATGTAACCTGGTGGAAAGTGGGGAGGTCTTCTAATGGTGGGAAGTGGGGAAGTGAGTGGGGAAGTGGTGACTTCCCCCTCACTCTTCCTTCCCTATAAAAGGGTGGCTTTCCCAATTCCTTTTAACGCTTCCCCGAACGTCGGTTGATAGAGTTTCCGAAACTCTAACGAGAAAATCTCTCTCTCGATTTCTCTATTTCCCTTTCAATTATAAGACAGTTCCCACAAACCGAGTTCTTAACATCTAGAGGATAGCGAGGAAGACTTTGTAGTGTCGTTGGTGTCTACATTGAAGAGGTATGTATCACTAACTTCCCTTTATTCATGCTTATTTGTCTTTTCTTTGTTGTAATTCAAAGACAAGATCGAAGCACACGCGTTCGCGTGCTTCGTTGCGGAATCCGATCCGTTGAAAAATGTTGTCCCACGGTCATCTTGTTTGGCTCAATTGGCTTATTTATCTTAATTAAAGTACAACTTTATTTTTTTAACAAAAGTTTCATAACCCAATATATATAATCAAATGCATAATATGAAATGCAACACAATACATACAATATAATTTACCTTGTAAAAGTATATATATATATATTACAAAATTGATTTCATAACAATTTTTACAGTAGTTTGATTCCTCTATGATAAGTTCAGAAGCAATTGAACAACAGTTTGGCATCAAATTAAATATTAAAGTTAAAGTTGAAATATGCTAAATTCGATTTGAATCAAATTTTATTGAACAGTAAGATAAATTTTCATGATTGAAGATTAAAATAGCCTAATTTGAAATAAATTTCAACATAATTCTTAAGAAGTAACAATGAGAGGGTTCTGATACCACTTGTTTGGAAAAATTAATACTCAAAATTTAGAGCGATCGATATCTCATGTCGAATCAAAAGAATTAAATCCAAAGAAGCGGAAACATACTTAGATTCATAATTGAAAGTCGATTGATGGGTTTAATCTTCCAAGTTTAGATAAATCACGAGTTGGTCTTCAATTCCTTAAACTTTCTTCTATGTTGTAATTAAGAAGAAGAATGTTTTCTATTTTATCTCTTTAAAGGGATGAGAAGAAAAAACCATGAAGGGATGAGAAGAAAAAACCATGAAGTAGTTATCTGACATTGGGGACCATCATAACCTCTTTGTAACTGTCCAGAAAATAATTGGTCAATTACAAGGTTTGAATATTTCTAATTTGACCTCTCATGAATCTGGAAACTATTTGATGATATCTATACATTTTACTCGTGATCAATCGTTACTCTCCTTAAACCAAACTTATAGATAATTAGATCACTTCTCTTAGTTTAATTAAATAGCAAAAGCACATTAAATAATTACGGTGTGTGACCCCATATATTGAAAATTCCAACAATTACCCCATAAAATTACTTATGCATGACGACCTGGACAGTGATTTG